CGGGGCTGTAGCTGTAGGATCCCGAGTTTGGTTTAGGAAGGGCAGCGACTGGGAGCGCCTGCGGTCCAGGTTGGGTTTAGGACATGCACACACATCCCAGCCTCCGCTGCCCGGGCCAGGAGCCAAAGGCGACGGAGCCAACGCTGTGCGAGCAGCCCTGGCCCGGGCACCAGGTGGATCCCGGGCCCGGGCAAGGGAAGCACGGCAGCGATGGGTGAAGGATCTGAGCCTGCGGAGCGAGTGCTGAGGGCTTGGTCCCGGGAGACACAAGGCTGCTCTTGCCGAGGCTCTCCAGGTGAGATCCAATGTTTGGGGTGCCTGGGGCCGGTGCAAAACGGGCTGCGCTGTGGGGCTGTGGGCAGGCTGGAATGTGGCCCTGCTGATGTCCGGGATTTAGCATCCAGATTGGTCCCACCCCGTCGGTGATCTCCTCCGCAGCCAGCAGGCCCTGAGTTGGTGGTCGTGATGCAGGCGATGAGCTGGAAAGCCGGAGACAGCCACTCCTTACCGCGTCAGTCCTGGAGCCGCAGGCAGGACACGGTGGGGAGAGACTTGGTGCCCCTGCCGGGGAAACGGCGGCCGTTCCCCAGGGGGAGGAGGACTCTCCTCTTCACACCTTCAGCCAGCTGGCAGAGCTGCTGCCGCACGTCCTTCTGCCAGCAGGAGTAGAGCAGGGGGTTCAGGAGGGAGTTGCACAGTCCCAGCAGCCAGAGGTAGTTCTCAATGACTTTGTAGGGGAAGCAGGCCGGACAGACGGTTTGCACGATGCTGGCGATGAAGAACGGCAGCCAGGACAGCGTGAAGCACCCGATGAGCATGGCAACGGTGCGCATGGCCTTCATGTCGCTGGTGGTGCAGGACGGGGGGCAGCCCCCCGCCAGCCCTGCGTGCTCCACTTCCCGGATGTGCTGCACGTGCACGGAGGCAATCTTCAGCATGTCGCAGTAGAGATAAATGAAGAGAAAGAGCCCTGGGAAGAAGCCGACGCAGAAGATGGTGAGCATGTAGGTGGGGTGGAAGACTCTGAAGAAGGAGCACTTCTCATAGCTGGAGATCCTCTGAAAGCCCGGGGTGAGGACTGGGAGGAAGCCGATGATGGCAGCAACCAGCCAGAGCCCCACCAACCGCACCCCGACCCGCAGGCCTGTCACCAGCTGGAAATAGTGGAAAGGCTTCCGGATGGCCAGGTGCCTGTCGCACGCAACCAGAATCAAGGATAGGATAGAGGCAGCAGAAGAGGAGGTCACGAAAGCCATTCTCAGGACGCAGAAGATCTGGGGAGGATAAAAGGGCTGGGAAAACTCATCCACGACCAGACCCACGACCGTGAAGCCAACCATGGCATCCGCAACGGCGAGATTAAGGACAAAGTAGAGCCCCTTGGAGCCGCTCTTCTGGATGAGGCGAAGGAGAGCGATGGCCACCAGCACGTTGGCGGTGATGATGAGCGAGGCCAGCACGGCGAGGATGGCTCCCAGGACTGAGCTGGCCATGGCTGTCCCCTGCGGGGCACAGCCCAAGGATGCCGCGTTCCCAACACGGTTCTAGGGCATCCCTCACCTGGGGCCTCTCGGCAGGCGCGGGGCAGCAGCGGCGGGGGGGGGCGGCGGCCCCCCC